TCTCATCTCTCCGACCTCCAATCTCCGGCCTCCGGTGAACATTAATCCGACAGGTACCAAGTAATCACAAATATACACAATGTGATAACCATTGTGATATCCTGTGATACCAACTCAAACCTTAAAAACAAATATACACAATTTGATACCCATTGTGATATACTGTGATACTTATTTCACTGGAGGCCGGAAGATTGGAGGTCGGAGAGAGGAGAGATGAGTTTTTTAAAAATACCTAATATTCCATATACTTATAATTTTAACTTAAATTACCATAATTGTTAATTTCCTAATTTATCCGTTGAATTATGATTGAGATTGGATCTCATAGTTATCACAAACTAATCAATTCTCATTTGATTAGGCCCATATATATATATATATATAAAATAACACACATATATAAATACATATGTAACAATATATATATATATATATATAATAACACACATATATAAATACATATGTAACAACAGTCAGAGAAACTTTTTTATTCATAGTATTAATAAATAAATTCAGAAATTTTGTTTTGAGGTGTAGAATTGCAAGATAGGAAGTTTAGGGATATGTTTTGTCAAATTTTATAAACGTTTGGATTAGAAAGAAAATATTTACGTGTCACTAAAAATGTCTATATGTTATTCTATTAGACTGTTTTATAAGACTTAAAAGTATTACAATAAGTTTATATGACGATTTTAAACATCTTAACAAGTTTTTAGGTCAATTTTGAAATAAAATGTCCTACTAATTTTTTTACATAATATTATTTGAAAGAATGTTTTATAAAAACAAGTGTCTTATAAAAAGATGTGTTTATACAGATAATTCTCAAAACTGTCCTGTAAAAAGCTAATATGACACTTTATTTCAAAAGTGCCCTAAAATTAAAAAATCCAAATGCATCTTATAAATTTATTGCAGCACTCTTACATAGAACATACAATTGTTTGGTTCCATAAACTTAACTCTTATAAAACAGTTTATTAGAACATTTAGACATTTTTTACATTTTATGAACTCTTTTGTCACAAAGGGAAAAAAGAAAATCTAGAAATCCAAAAGACACTTCTTGGCATCTACTTTTTTCTGAAGGAAGGGACGAAACTCCGAGAAAAAAAGGTTACTATAAAAGAGAGGAAAATTACAACTTACGAGAGGTGTTCCCCAAGAAAACAAATCTTGGCATCGATTTTTATGAACGTTGTGCTAGTTCTGGACATTCGAGATAGGTCTTTACAATTTTACGTTACAAAAAAATGGTGTTACAACATACAGTGAATAAGACGAACATACATATGCAACATTGTTAAAACAACATTACTGAATTACCTCTGGTCGATCGTTATTTCGACATCCTTTTTAACGTGTTAGAGTATTTTTTAAGAGACTTTCTAAAGTAGAAAATATGAAGATTTTGGTAATTTCCTAAACGGTTCCTGAAAAATACATTTATTGTGAGACTTGAGAAGGAAGAAATTATTTTTTAATCATTTTTAATAATAAAATTGAATATATAATTATTTTATATGAAAACTTTTTAAAGTGCATTGAGATGATAAATTTATAAAATATTTTAATATTATAATTAATGTTAAATTCTTTAAAATAAAAAATCTGTTTCAATTGAATATATTTTTTTTTATATAAATCTACAAACTTTTAGGGGGTATTTGGGTTGGGATTGCTTATAAAGGCTGTTTTTTAACTCATTTTAGTTTGGCACCGGTGATAAACTGTTTTTTAGTGTTTGGATAAGAAAAAAAAAAACTGCTTATACCGGTGCCAAACCGGTAATAAGCTGTTTTTGATAAGTTAATCTTTCTTGACTTATGAAAAACTGCTTATTATCAGTTTACAATTTTAACCATATTTTATTTAACTCCAGTTTGATACCACATAAGTTAATAAGCATTTTTACAAAAAAAAAACATAAGTTGTTTTAAATAAGCAATCCCAAACACCCCCTTAATATTGTATTTTAGAAAAATTATAAATAATCAGTTAATATGCTCATTGGGAGTAGAGACGGACATACTAAGCCTTGAACGAGGGTCTTATGTACATGCTTAACTTATTTTCATAAGTAGAATTTTTTGTGAGGTACGAAATGTGGACCCGTACAACTTTGAAGGATATTCCAAAATATTTATTAAATATAAGAAAAATCAATCAAAAAACCAGGAAAAAAATCCATTGAAATCAATCAAAAAACTAAAAAATCCCCACAAAATCAACTAAAAAAGTCTTTTGAATTCAACCAAAAAACCGAAAAAAAATCCATAAAAATCAACTAAAAAGTTACAAAAAAAAAACCCTCGAAATGATCAAATAACACTAAAAACACGTTGAACGACTTTGCAAGATTTAATCCATCTTAAAGTGAATGTGAGAAGGGATCGACACCCTTAAAGATGCACCAAGATTCACTGGATCAATCCTTATACGATTCATGAGTAGGTTTGAGATCAAAGGTGAATACATTCTTAACATATTTTCTCACACGATCTTTCGTCTTAAAAAAACACACACACATAAATATATATATATATATATATATATATATTCTTAATATTGTTTTAAATTGTTCAATTAAAAATTCCAAGTTCTAAGAACGTTAAAGGACATGTTACCCAATAATATATTATAAATATGAGGTTGAATTCTGATGAGAAAGAGAGTTAAAGTGAAAAGCATAAAAAGAGATTTACATCATTGGATGCACATTAGTTTGAGATGCAGTGAGATGCACCGGATCAATCTCTGTATCATGCGCGATTCATGGGTGGGCTTGGGATTAAAGGTGACCAAGAGTTCAGATCTCTTCTTACACTTCTCATCTTAACTCTCATTTTCATACGATTCTATATCTATATACACATATATATATATATATGTGTGTGTACATATATATATATATATATATATATATATATATTTTTGTAGGTGTCTTTTCTCTGACAAACTCATCTTTTCAAAAATAGCATAGTATCAATAATGCATCGATCAACTAGTTGTTATGACAATCTTGCATTTTTTTTTTTAATTTTGAATATCAATTTGAACAACATGTAATTTTATCAATACATAAATAATTCATATTGATAATATTTTGACCATCAACCCATTTGACCATCCTTTAATATATATATATATATATATATATATATATAGAGGAGCGATCAAATGAAAACCACCCTCATTTGTAAAAACCGTACAAACCACCCTCATTTGTAAAAACCGTACAAACCACCCTCATACGTCGATTTCATTGTTTAATCTTATGAAATTTTTTCATGAAATTGTTTGATCTTGTGAAATTGTTTCATATAATACTTTTTTTTTGATTAATTTGTTTCATATATGGTTATGAAATTGTTTCATATAGTATTTAATGAAACTGTTTCATGTATTTCTTTAAAATTAAAATAATGAAGATGATAATATCCATGATTAATACCCTCCACAATAAAAATGGTTAATCAACCTCTCATAAATACAAAAAAATGAACAAAATGAAAAATTATGATTGGTTGAATAAGGTTTTCACGGTTTTTATAAATTGAGTGGTTTTTATTTGAACGCTCCCCTATATATATATATATATATATCAATTCTAGTTGAAGAATTCCGCTAGATCAACACTAATGAAAAACATCATATCAATTCCTTTCTAAACCATAATTCAGTAATTAGTTTAAGATTAAAAGTGATCAATAGTCCAAATATATATTCTTACGCTTCTCACCATAACTCTTATATTCACATCATCTTTCGTTCCTATTGTATTTATATCAAGGCTATAGATCGGGTGGACGAATAATAAACAAAACAATTCATACAATATGTTTTATATTAAAAATCTTATAAATTAAAATCACAAAATAATATATGAAATTAATTTAAATAGAAAAATCCGTAATTGATAAATTCTGAAATATTGGTGCAATGCATGTTCATGTTTTATTGGACATTTTGAAATCCAAAACCAATGATAATGAGATTGCTGGGGATATACTCTTTGGTGGTTGTGGTAGACACCACTTCCAAATTTGCTTACTTTTTCTTTAAAAAACAATATCTATCTATATATATACATACATATATATATATATATATATATGATTGGATTCACGTGAGACCAAAGGTTGTTCGTAAGACCTGTAAGACCAATTTATGTTCATTGATCAACTTTATAAGCTAATGATCTAATGGTCTACAGTTGCACGGTGATAATTTTGTGATTATTGAGAAGTCTCGTGGCAATTTTGTGATTATTAATGTTTAGATTGTAGATCTAATCCAAGGGTTGAGAATTGGTTTTACGGGTCTCACGAAAAACCCTTGGTCTCACATGATCCCAAGTATATATATATATATATATATATATATATAGAGAGAGAGAGAGAGAGAGAGAGAGAGAGGTGAGTTATTATGTAACCCTTTACATTTGTACAACCAATACAATTCAATCTCAACCGTCTATTTAATTTGATGAATATATGATTTCATAAAAGTTTTAATTGTTTCCTAATATAAAGTATTGATCATAATTAATGAACTCTAATCATCTTCCATAAAAATTCAAATCATAATAAATCAACTCTCATCATTTCCATAAATATATCAATTTATTGAGTTGCATTGTTTGTATAAATGTGATGGATTGCATATGAAACGTCAAATATATATATATATATATATATATATATCTTTCATTTTAAGAGTCTTAAGTGGCCATTTTGGCCTTCATTTTCATTGCTTTAAACTTAGAAACAACATATTTAAGGTTTTATTGCATCTACTACTTGAGATCTCTCTACCAAACTCAAAACTTTGAGCTCAAATTTGGACTCAAAAAGGTTCTCATTACATATAGCATCATTCTATCTTCCTTGCAAAGCATGTTCATATCTATTTTCACTATATAACTAACCCCACCCAATATTCTAACCAATTTCATTGCAAAATCTCTTGCAACCACTACCATTTTCTATCTGTATCTGTTGCGATGATGAAAGATCGAATGGAACGTCTTGTAGTTTTCCCCTTTGCCACTGGTTGTGTCTCTGCTTCTAGCATCGCAGTCTGTGTACAACATGGTAGAAGACCAAAGGAAGAACTCAACTCATCTCGCATGGGTATATTTGACTATTTTCTTATCACAGATTTGTTCAAAATAGGAATTGACAGTTGGGTTTTATTTATTTTCAACAAATTTGATTGGTTTGTTATGTTGTATAAGAAAATACGTGATTTTATGATGATGTTATCATGTTTGTAGTGCGTAGATCGTTTGACATTCCTAGAGATCCGAAAGATGAAGAATTAGGAGCAGCGACGGCAAGTGAAAACTTGGCGAAGGGCTCGTTTAGGTTCTTGGCACTTTCGAAGCCCAACGTATCTGTTGGGCTTCACAGGCTCACGAGAAGCATCAAAAACTTGTCCCAATCACTTGGTGAGTAACTACTCTCATTAACATGTAATCATGACACATAATGAAAGCACAGACACATATAGAGTTATTCAGTATACAAAATTCAGCCCTTTACGGGCAGATTTATTTTTGTCATGTGGCCATTCAAAACGGAAAAGTAAACATGAGTAATTCTTGCCTAAAAAAGACGTGAAAATAAAAAAGTGTTAATTTTATGAGATCTGTTTATTTTAACTGAAATGAATACAAACCGAAAACATGAAGACATCTGTTAATTCATGAATCTGCTCCTCATCAAATCATTATGCAACAAACTCGTACCCTGTGTAATTACTTTCATTTGCATATTTACATTGTTGTAGTGTCGAAGGAGGAAATTGAAGAAGCGCAAATGGAGCTGGAAATCGGGCTTCCAACAGATGTAAAGCACGTGGCACACGTAGGGTTTGATGGATCTGTAACCTCGGATGTCAACCGCCATGGTAATCACACAACCTCAGAGTTCCTCGGCTTTTGCCCTATTTCGTTTGCACAACTTGAGGAGCGGCTGGCCATGTGCATGTCGATTGATCCATCTCATGACAACACGAAATATGCTACTGAACCAAGTATGGCGTAAAATTTTACCATCATATATATTGTACCAACAATAATCGTGTTCACTTGTGTATCGTTTAATACTATACACTTACTATTTTTCGAAACCTGTTTCGTGGTCTTGATTGTTTACAGTTTTATTTAAGTTAATAGCTGGTACGGTGGTTTTAAATTTTACCATCGTATTTCATTAATTGTACTTTTGAGCTACTTGCCATCGAATCATTCCATCTTCTTTAAGAAATTTCCGTATAGTCGTGATGAAACTTTGTGGGCATTTATTTTAGACAAATAAAACCGACAGTGGCATTTTTGAAATTATTGGCAAATCAGTGGCTTATTAGAAGTAATAAAGGTGTGACGGTCGATAGTAGTTTCTTTATCCGGGAATGAAAATGGTGTGACGGTCGATAGTAGTTTCTTTAAGCAAGTGATATGAAGCCTTATGTACCTGACATCAACCCGACCCAATTGATGATTGTGGCCGGTTTGATTAGCAAATATGAAGGGCGGCTAGGGTTGTTAACGATTCGAGTTTTTAATAAGTTATTCGATCTCGAGCTTAATAAATCATGAGTTCAAGTCGATTTCGCATGGAAAATAGAACTCGTTTAATTTGATGAGTCGAGCTTCATAACACTAATGTTCGACTTGACTCATTCGAAACCTCGATTAAATTTTTCGAGTTGAGTCGATCCGAGCTGAGTCATTTGATTTTGTTTATCTGCAGTTAGTTACACAAATTCAAAAAAAAAACTTCAATAAGTTGTACTTACGCACAATTTACTTGTAATATTGAATTTTAAGTATTATGCATCAATAAACAGTACTTCATGCATAAAAAATCATTTTAAAAGTTTTTCTTAAATGCTTTATAATATAGTATAGATATTAAAACACTTATTTCATAAAACTTTGTAGCAGTCAATTAATATAAAAAAAGTAATTTAATTATTTTTATAAGTTGTTATAAATTATTATTTACAAAAAAATGAAATACGAAGAAAATCCACCAAATATTCCAAATCTTTCTGATTTCAAATCAATCCACAAAATTCAAATCACTTAAAAAACATTCATCAAATCAAACAGGGCCTTAGAGCTGGAGTTACGGATCGATTCAGGGTTGGGGTAAAAAAAATTTATAAAATCCGTAATAAAAATAAATCGAATATAACACAAACTTTTAGGAAAAAGTCAAAAAAAAAAGAACCAATAAACTTTTCATTTTGAATGGTTAAGTCCTTAAACTAAATTTTTTAAGGACATCGCGCATTGCGCGATGACGATAAATTTTTTAAAAATTTATTGAAATTAGCTAAATGAGTCGATGATCACATTTAAATATTAAACTAATAAGAATCAATATTATCTTTGATATATGAATCTAACTTATCATTATTGGTTGTTCTTTTAATATTATATATATATATATATATATATATATAAAATTATTAAGTCTTATATATCAATTTTTTATTATATCAAACTTTGTGATTGGTTCAAAATCATAAAAAAAATATGTGAAAATATTGATTATAATCATGAGGTGTATTAAGAGAATTATTTTACCATAATACATATCAATTTATCTTCTACATATATTCTCATAAAATATTTATATTCACCAAGCAATAATTGTGTTGTTATTTATATTGATATAATTGTTGAATATTTTTGCAATTTGCTTATATTAGTTCATGATATACTCATTTGTAATATTGGTCAAGAACCTCATTGAAACCACTTTTTTCCTACATGCGATTGCATAAAATGAAAATAATAGCTAATATTATGACCATTCTAGATATACAAGAGTCTGATTGATTTGTTATTTTTTTTATTGACTTGTTCAAGCTTTTTAGATTTGTTTTAGACAGTTCATAGTTTGGTTTATTTATAAAAAAATCCTGAAAATAGAGGTTTTAATAAAATTATATAAAATAAAATATATGTATATATTGAATTTCATATTTTAAATATAGGAATGGAAAAGTCTTTTACATATATCAAATATTTTAAAAAATAAAAAATCTAAGAAAAAAAATTGGTTTCTAATGTTTAGAGGATAACACCTCATTATGTTTGGTTTCTTCTTTAAGAATTAAAAATATTAGAAAATAATTTACAAGCTCAATGCTAAAAAAGGAAAAAAAATCTCAATAGACCGATTAACATCAACAAAAACAAAAACTCATATCATATTTGTTTTCATGAATTACTCCTCAAATAAAAAAAATAAAAAAAACACATCCACAAAAACTGAATAAAGAAGAAGAATTGGGAGATTAAAAGAGATTTTTATGCTAAACAATGTTACCTTATTTCATCAAAGATTCATATGCCACTTCATCCACACAAAAAAAAAAATCATATGCCTACATAATTCCAACTTTAGTGTGAATTCTCCGACTAAAAGACGAAATACTATACTTACATAAGCAAAAACTCATACTATGATTAGTCTTATTGACTAACGCCTAAAATCAACAAAAATGCAAATCACCCCCACAAAATTATAACTGAATGGAGAGAAAGAATTGAGAGATTCATATGTTTGTATAATTCCAATTTTAGTGTGAATATMTCCAATTAAAAGACGAAAATACTATACTYACATTAACAAAAACTCATATCATATTTCTCTTATTGAATGACGCCTCAAATAAACAAAAGTGCAAATCACCTCAAAAACTGAATAGAGAGGAAAAATTAAGAGGTTTTTTTTTCTATCCAATGTTACACTATTTCTTCAAGGATTCATATGTCACTTTATCCCACAAAAACTCCATATGCCTACATAATTTCAACTTTAATGTGAATATCTCCGACTAAAAAAGAAATATTATACTTACATTAGCAAAAACTCATACTATTATTTGTCTTATTGAATGACACCTCAAATCAACAAAAATGCAAATCGCATCCACAAATTTATAACTGAATAGAGAGAAAGAATTGAGAGATTAATAGAGAGATTATCATAGAGGTGTACTACAAAATTATACATGAATAGAGAGGAAGAATTGAAAGATTAATAGATAGGTTATCATAGAGATGTACCACAAAATTATACATGAATAGAGATGAAGATGAAGAATTGAGAGATTATTATAAAGGTGTACCATGAAGAGAAGATGAACAATTGTAACCGAATAAAGAGAAATAATGAGAGTTAAAATAGTACTTATTAGAGGGAACATGAATAGGTTGAAACAACCTAATTAAATGATCTTAATTAAATGATCTTAAATGTGAATATGAAACACAAAAAACAAATATTAAAGTAGAAGAAGCTTGAGAAAAGGAGAATAAAGATAAATCATTTTCTTGTTTTGAGAAAATGCCACATCATTGCATGTGGTTTCTTCTTTAATATATATATAGATTTTTTTTTGAATTAATATACCATTAAACTTTCTCATTTTGAAATTTAAGTACTTGAATAGTTTTTTTTTTTTTGAATAAATTAAACAATCAAACTTTTAAAAATTAGTTACCTACGTATTTTTTTAACCAAAAAAAAACTACATGTATCGTTCCCAAACCCTACGACATTCAAACCCTTGCGTCCAACATCACTCCCTCTCGCCACCTCTCGTCGCCCCATCACCGTCCGTTGTCCATACCACTCAGTGTCGTCGTTAGCCCCTACCATCGATCTCTCTATTTTTTATATGTTTTTATTGTTTTTCGAATTGGATCGGCTTTTGCAGTTTTTTCTTCTGCAGTACCTCGACGTGACATGAGCTATAGTTGTCTTCTTTGTTCGATAAATACGCAGTGGAGAGGGATGCTAGTCGTCTCGGAAAAGTTGTAGGCCCCAATATTCCTTTTCTTTCACAACAGTTTAATGGTGTACATATAAATAGATTAAAAAAAGGGAAAATTGAAAAACAAAAAAACGATCAAAGGAATTAACGACCGTGATGAGTTAGGTAGCGATGGAGAATAATTGACCATGGGGGCGTTGAAGGGTAGTGGGGGAGCGATGACGTTAAATGTGCGGTTTGCATGACGTAGGATTTGAGAATAGAAAACTGATTTATGTTTTCTTTTTCTAGTTTAAAATCTTTCTAGTCGATTACAGTTAAATTTTTTGAGTTAAAAAAAATGTAAATAACCTTTTTTAGAAATTCGATAATTTATTATTCAAAAAATGCTCAGAAACTTAATAATTCAAAATAAGAAAATTTAATGATTTATTTTTTTAAAAAAAAGTTTAAGGACTTAATTGTTCAAATGAAAAAGTCTAAAAAAATAAAATTGGCATCATATAAAGCTCTTTCAATTTCTTTTGTTGGTAGACTAACATTAGTCAAATTTTTGGTCCCGCCTCTGCGCCTCATCGACTCATACTCTCAGGCCTGAGGCCTCTTACGGGACCGTCCTCATCGAATCATCGTTGTATTTAAAATTATGTGTTTAATTGGATTCGTAGTATGTAATCGTTAAACTTTGAACATTTACAATTATAGTATGTAATCATTAAACTTTCAACATTTACTATTTGTCTATTATGTTTTGTAATCGTTAAACAATATTTGTAACCATTATTCCGTATAATTTGTATTCTTGTTTATTTATTTAGTGTTTTGACAATGTTTTATTTTTTATTTCTAAATAACAAAATTTTAATATTTTAGGAAGCGGGTACCCGGAACCGGTTCCCGGCTGTTCCGGTTCCAAAAATTCAAGAACTGCCCTAACTGCTTCCGATTCCGGTTCCAATATCTCAAGAACTGCTTATTGTCGGTTCCGGTTCCTGTCAAATAGGACGGGTACCCGCCTATGCTCACCCCTAATTCATAAAGCAACAAATTCCAGATTTAGCTTTCAAAATCCAATTGCTTTTCTTTCCATTGGATTTCAAATTGTTTTAAAAAGAAACAGGTAAAGTAGGTGGAGTGGAATGGACTGGTACTGCAACACATGCGAATGTTGTTAATTTACTTGATTCATTGTTTCGCTTTCTTCATACGGGATCATCAATCGCCTCCATGAATCCGCTTCCTGGAGTCTAGTTCGGGGTTTAGTTCTTGGTTCGGTTGTATCTGTCGGACAGCTTCGTGCTTGCTTTGATGTCTTTTCTGTTCGTTTAGCAACAGATTCCAGATTCAGCTTTCTGTTCGTGTTTGCTTATTGCTTTTTGTTCTGTGTTTATTTGACAAAAATTTTTTATTGACCGTATCATCTTTCTTTTTTCTCAATAAAGTTTATTCAAAAAAGATGATTTTATGAAATTTTCATTTATTTTAATTAATAAATAAATAAATAAAAAGGGGATAAATTATAATCCCATAGAAATTTGTAGTTTCTAGAAAGTAGCCGATGAGGATTCAAATCTTTGACCGGTTTGAAACAAAGGTCAAAAACTTAGGCCTTGCTGAAATCCCACATATAAAGTGGGGCCCACCTCTTCCATTTTTTTTTATTTTTTATTTTCTTTAATCTTCTAGATTTTCAAGATTTGAAACCTAAGACGTCGTCGTCACATGCATATCGTGATAAAAGGGACGTATTATTCAACTGACTTGGTAGTTAGTTATTGAATATAGATTTCTTTTTTATTATTTATTAAACAACCTTTAAAACTGAAAAATTACCGTGTGTATTAAATTATATCTTGATTTTAATATTTTATTTTATTTTTTATTTTTGTTAATATTATAAAAGATTTTGAAAAAATAAAAATATTTTTATTTTTAAATAAAATATAAACTTAAAGATATCTTAAAAGTTTGAAAAAAATATATAAATACTAGTATTAAATTAACTATTTAAAAGTTCTAGTTTTTTATAATTTATTTAATTCATTTTCTATTACTAGAAGAGTACCCACACAATGTAGCGAGATACATCTCGATTTTAATGTTTCATTTTATTTCTTTTTTTTTATCTCAATCGATGTCGGTTTTATGTGGTTTTGAGAAAAAAAATAATGTTTTTATTTTTTGAATAAAATATAAGTACGAAGACATCATAAAAAATTGAAAAAAAAATTAATATTAGTATCAAACTAACTATTTAAAATTTCTTTTTTTTATGTGTGTATTTCTTTAATTCAAAATTTAATTTTGATTTAATAATATAATTTTTTTATAAATATAATGATCAAATATTTTGTTAGAAGTCAATAATTATCTTAATTTTTTTTAGATTTTTATATTTAAAATGAGATATTTATCTTATATTCAATTATGTTTATCTGCAGTTAGTTACACGAATTCAAACATGAAACTTTAATAAGTTGTACTTACGCACAATTTACTTGTAATTTTGAATTTTAAGTAATATACATCAATAAACAGTACTTCATGCATAAAAAATGGTTTTTAAGAGTTTTTGTCAAATACTTTATAATATAGTATACATAATTTAATTTAGGCTTAATAACGAAGTAATTTGTTTTTGATTTAATAATACTGTTATAACTCAATGATTATGTTAATTATATTTTTTTATTATCTAAATTGAGATGTTTATCTTTATTTGGTTATGTTTATCTGCTATTACTTACACAGATTCGAACATGGAGCTTTGATAAATTGTACTTACGTACTTAAATGTAATCTTAAATTTTAAGTAATATGCATCAATAAACAATATTTTATGTATAAAAAATAATTTCTAATTTTTTTAATAAAAATGGGTTATGGTATATTATAGATTTATTTACTTAAAATAAATTCAATTAAATTATATATTATCTTTAGCATAGTAATTAATTCTTTCCTTCTAAAATAAATGAAAATAAGGAAATGATATGCAGTTTTTAAATCTGCATAATTACTATATTTCTTAATTAATTAAATAATAATTTTATTTATATTTATATTATATTATAAAAATCTGACAAAAAATTTTAGAGGTCATTTTTTATGTATAAAATATTGTTTATTGATATATATTACTTACAGTTCAAGATTATAATTAAATTGTGCGTCAATACAACTTATTAAAGCTTCAGTTTTGAATTCATGTAACTAATTACAGACAAGAATAATCAAATACATGATAAAATATCTCATTTTAAATACAAAAATATAAATAAATAAATAAACCTCATGCATCTCATCTGTTTCGACAATAATTTAATGATTTTGGAGGATATGGGTCCAGTTCACTATATTATTAGATTACTTCTGTCTGTTGTTTAAAGTTTCATTATGCATCTTTTCATTTCACTGATCATTGTATATTTCTAACTCTGTCATTGGCTACGTTTTCTTATTATGTTGGTGTGTTTTTTAATTAAATATGCTATTAGATTTTGAATTATATGAGATAAGGCTACACTTGATACAACATATCAGTGTAATCACATCATAATGTCATCTTTTAGTCAAGTCGGTTTTTTGCGTTTGTGACCCCTTATTGTCATGTTGTCAATCATCGTGATGTGCTCAACTATACTAATAGAAACCACTACATCATACTTGGTTCTCATAGCATGTGTATTTGATGTATCTCAAATTGCTTCTCAACAAAGTTCAAATACTCGATGAACGGGTAAACATCAGGAATTACTCTCTGGAATCCCATGGATATGAATCTTTATTGACAATAAGAGATACTTAATTCGACTACTAATAGTAATTAATGTTTATGCCCGACCCTGACAGTGACCCTGACCTTGACCCCACTTCTTGTCTATGCCACTTACCCTGGTTTAGTTCCGACATGTCAAGGGAAAAGGAAATAGACAAAGACCAAATCGACATTATGGACCTTATGTTTCCTAACGACCATTTGCTGTCCTTTTACATTCAAGATAAACAACAAGAAACCAAGTGGATATGATGGGTATTCCTAATATGATACAGGTAAGTGATCAGTAAGACGCAAACCAAAATATTGCAAAACGATTCAAAATCTTTTAAAAGAATCCCACATCTTTGTATGTATGTCATGATCCATTTAATAAAACGAATTAAACCTGTTTTCTATCTGATCGAACCGAATCATATCACCAAACAATATGACGTCCACAAAACAACTGATGTTATCGTTGGTGGGTTTTTTACAATTTCGAACATAAACATGATACAACGGTTGTATTCGGTATTATATACACACACAATTACACACACAAAAAGTGGGACCCATGAATATGGTTTTCTTGAAATTATAGATGTGGGATGAAAGAGAAAAGAGGGGGAAAGAATCCCAACGAACAAGGAAGTTGGTTTCTATGCAATCTCTCTAAAAACAACCAATCAAATAATCAAGAAAATTAGGGAAAGATTCAAGATCAAATCTTTTTGGGAGATGGGAAGCTGACGTCAATTCGAGTTTCCTTCTTCCTTCCTTCCTTCCTCCCCACCCACAAATACCCACATCCCATACATGCATTCTTCACCGATTTCTGTTTTTTAGGGCTAGATTTTGAATGATTTTTCTCACGATCATGAACCAAGGAGAAGCCAAGCAACTGGACGACGGCAATGGCGGCGGTGATCCTGCTGCTGGACTGACGTATCATCCTCCGATCAATTTCGCAGCTGTTGAAGATCGAATCTACAGATCTGGATTCCCTCAACCTAGAGACTTTCCGTATCTTGATACCCTGCAGCTTCGATCTATCATGTGGGTTTTCGATTCGTTATTGGTTCTTGTTGTTTAACGTTTGTTGGTTGATAATCGAACCCGTTGATGATTGGGTTGATATCTGATTGCAGATATTTGTGCACTGAACCATATCCAACGGAGAATTTGGAATTTCTGAATGCTCGCAACATTCGCCTCTTTCAGTTTGGGATCGATGGCACAAAGGTTATTCCTCTCTCTGATTGATGTGAATTGTGTTTTTGCTTCATCATCATCATCATCAAAATTTTCACAGAATTTGAATCGTAGAGATTCAAATTGGGGAATAAATGGCGATGGGTTCTGAATGTTTGATTTCGCATAATTGAAGGAATTCTTTGTGGAATTTCTGATGATTGAGGTAGCCATGAAAGCAAAGATGAACACACCTTTAACAAGATTCAAAGGATTTAAACAATCCATGAATTTAGATACGAATCCCGTTTCTTTTGGTTTTGAAGAAGCCCTAATCAATGCTAGGGTTCTTTAGCTGATTATTTTAGTGAAAAACTCTGTGGTTTATGGAAATCAAGATGGATTCTTTAAAAGGGTCTGACGCCATCCTCTGGATCGCCCTCGTTAAGAGGTAAATTGCGTATCTTATGGCAGGTGGGTGGTGCATGGAGTCGAACCATAATCAAGAATGAGATTCCATGTAGGTCGTAACGAATTGGAAACTTCTAGAATCCCACTTAGAAGTTGGGCTTTTAGGGGTGGGATGCATGCAGACTTGACCTATGTACCAAATGGATGATTTGTTGAACTTGGTTTATTCTAATATGATGGTTGGTATTTGCAGGATGCAAAGATTTCCAAGGGTACCATCACGGATGCTCTTAAAGTTCTAATCGGTAATGGGTCAAGAACGCGAATGTTTTACTACGTTACTTTCTTGATCTTTCTTCTCAAAGACACTATCATCTTACCGAATAATCGGTTCTTTTGCAGACGTTAGAAATCATCCTGTTCTGATTCATTGCAAACGCGGAAAGGTATGTTTGTAAATCGTCTTAAACTGTAGTACACATGGAAATACTCGTCTTGATCATAATCACTGAAGTTTTAGCAACTTCAATATCAGTTACCCTCATGGAAACAACTGTTATACTCTTTGGGGTAAAGAACAGGTCTGCCTACATCCCATCCCCTTGAGACCCCACCTCCAAACGGATTTATTGGGTTTGTTAGGTTTTAATATCAACTACTCTACAAGTTGGGGATTTCCATTGGAAAAGATTTTCTACTGTTTGGGGTAGAGGATAGGTCTGTCTACATCTCATCCTCCCAAGACCCCACCTTCAAAGAGATTTACTGGGCTCGTTCGGCTTTATTATTAGTCAGGGTTTTCATGGATACAACTACTCTGCTCTTTGGGGCAGAAGACAGATCTGCCTACATCCCATCTCCTTAAGACCCCACCTCCACCTTCGAAGGGATTTACTGGGCTCGATTGGTTTTATTATCACACACTTTACAGTCAGGGTTTTCATGGAAACAGTTGCTCTGCTCCTTGGGGTAGAAGACAAATCTGTCATGGAAACAGTTGCTCTGCTCTTTGGGGTAGAAGACAAATCTGTCTACATTCCACCCGTCAGGACCCAACCTCTAAATGGTATTTTACTAGGCCCGTTTAGTTTTAGTATCGCCTACAAGTTATGTTCATATTTAGCCGACTGTTGGTTTCTTTTTACCATTTATGAGCCCGTTTTAACGTCTTGGATTGTTTGAAAATGGCAGCATCGAACAGGGTGTCTGGTCGGGTGCCTAAGGAAGCTGCAGAATTGGTGTTTGTCTTCGGTTTTGGAAGAATACAAGTTTTATGCAGGCGAGAAATCGAGGGACATGGATTTGAAGTTTTTAGAGACATACGATGTTTCGTATCTAAGACAGTGTCTTCACAGCATAATCTACCAGTATCATGGATACGGCTCTAAGAAGAGGCGGTTGCTCTACAAAGACGACGTTCAACACAAATCGCGGATAAGTTCTGCTTAGGTCGAATCATCGTTATTCGAACAGATTTCCGTTCTTTTAAGGATTTTCTCGGTTTTCGTTTTCTCCATAGGATGTCGTCGTAGTTCTAGTTCGGATATAAATACATCACAGAAAAGATTGATTACGGTTTTTAGTTGGTTTTATTAAGAGAAGTTGTCTAGTGTTCTTCAAGGATGCAGTGTACAGGTTTCATTCTACTTCCATCAGTATATTGCTTCAGGAATTCATTGGTAAACCACATAGGTGGTGCTTGATTGATTTGAACTTTGGCTGCAAAAGTCAAAAGTACCAGGACGTTTTAGGTTCAAATCCAAGGATGAATAAAAATTCATTTGTGGCCACGGAGGTTCAAATGCGGTGACTCCGGGCTATCTGCATAGCAGGTTGGATATCCAGGTAAATCAAAAAAAAAATCGGTTGGCAAAAAATGAAATTTTTATCGATATTTGCGGGCGTCTCATCTTTATAAAACTTTTTCAAAAGGTCGGGTTTTCATGGGAACAATTTGGGACAGAGGAAAGATCTGTATGCTAAAATTAGAGAAAGGAAATATCTGAATTTTGAAAAATCTCTAATTCTAAATATTTTAGAAAGAAACATAATATTTTAACTTTTTTCTATAATAAAAAAAATTAAAATTAAATGTTTGAGAAACAAATAATATTTTACTAAATATGTTAAATAGTTTGATAATATAATTAATATATAATCTTTAAAATATATAATATAATATAATATAATTTCTTTTTAGAAATTTGAAGTTTTGGCATTGTATTTTAAAGAAAAATTATAAAACATATATTATAAATAAAGAGATAGGTTATTATACAATACTTTATATTTGTATAACCAATACAATTCAATCTCAACCGTTCATTTAATTTGATTAATATGTGATTTCATAGAAGTTTTGATTGTTTCTTAATAAAAAATATTGATTATAATTAATAAACTTTATTTATCCTCTATAAATATTCAAATCATAATAAATAAACATCTCAATTTATTAGATTATATTGATTATATAGATTCCATTTGAAATGAACTTTATAAATAAATGCCTTAGATTTTAAATATGTATGAATTATTTATTAACACGTGAAATTGTCGGTTTGTGTGATTATTATCCACATGACGAGTTTGGTGCGTTGGTCTCTTCGGTATATCTATAATTATTTATAGATAACCACTTTTGCTTTTTGCAACTTTTAATTTTTGAGAATATAACTTATAAAATATTAAGAATATTTATATTATATTATAAAGTATTTGATAAAAATTCTTAAAAATATTTTTTTATGTACAAAATATTGTTTATTGACACATATTATTTAAAATTCAAAATTACAAATAAATTGTGTATAAATACAATTTATTAAAGCTACATACTTGAATTCGTGTAATTAATTGCAGATAAACATAATCAAATA